TTTTCAGCCGTCATCAGGGAATTTTTGAGAATTTATTTTTCAAAGTTGCGTCTGATTTGCGAGGTTATTTTTGCAGGTCAGAGTTTGCAATTKGTTCGTTCAAAAGTCGGTCGCGTTAGAGAGTTGCTTTTTGCTGGTCGTTGTGGAAAACAGTCCGCTCAATCAGAGGCCCAAGTTTCGATTTCCAGTCATCAGCAGGGAATTTTTGACAAGTTTTCAAAGTTGAGTTTTATTTTCGAGGTTGATTTTGCAAGTTAGACTTAGCATTTTTTTTTGTATATAAGCTAGTCGAGTTGGAGGGTGCCTTTTTTGGCCTTTGCAGGAAACAATCCCGTCAACCGGGGGTCCAAGTTTAGATTTTTGTTCATTATCAGAGAATTTTTGACGAATTTTCAAAGAGGAGCTTGATTGGCGAGGTTATTTTTGCAGGTCAGAGTTTGCAATTTGTTCGTTCAAAAGTCGGTCGCGTTAGAGAGTTGCTTTTTGCTGGTCTTTGTGGAAAACAGTCCGCTCAATCAGAGGCCCACGTTTCGATTTCCAGCCATCAGCAGGGAATTTTTGACAAGTTTTCAAAGTTGAGTTTAATATTCGAGGTTGTTTCTGCAGGTTAGAGTTCGCCATTTATTTGCTGAAAAGCCAATGGCATTAGAAAGTCTCTTTTTGCTGGTGTTTGCAGAAAAGAGCTATTTCAATCAGAGCCCCAAGTTTCCATTTACAGTCACCACCAGGCAATTTTTGAAAAAATTTCAAATTTGCGTTTGATTTGCGTGGTTGGTTTTGCAAGCTAGACTTGGCATTTTTTTTGTATAGAAGCTAGTCGAGTTGGAGGGTTGCTTTTTTTGGCCTTTGCAGCAAACAATCTCTTCAACCAGGAGTAAAAGTTTCGATTTTTGTTCATCATCAGATCATTTTTGATAAATTTTCAAAGATGAGGTTGATTGGCGAGGTTGTTTCTGCAGGTCAGGGTTTGCAATTTATTCGTTCAAAAGCCGGTTGCGTTAGAGAGTTGCTTTTCGCTGTTTTTTGCCAGGCAAGGCCTATTTTCACAGAGAAAACAGTTTCGATTTTCAGTCATAATTAGGCAATTTTTGACAATTTTTGAAATTCGGGTTTAGTTTGCGAGGCTGTTTCTGCAGGCCGGAGTTTCGCATTTATTTCTGCAGGAGCCAGTGGAGCTAATGAGTTTCTTTTGAGAACTACTTGTGCAGCAACGACCGGTTCATAAGTGGAGAAAATGACGATTTTCGCTCAAAACGAGGATATTTTTGGCGATTTTTCAAAATCGCTCTTGCTTTGTGAGATCGATTCTGCAAGCCGGGGTTTATTTATTCAGAAGAGTGCCCAGGCAGAGTGTGGCTGTTGGGTGCTGTTTGTCAAGGAAGGTCTCTTCTATAAGTGGCCAAAATTTCGATGCTCAGAAGTCAACAGCCAATTTATGAGCAATTTTCAAATTTGCATTTGATTTCCCGGGTGGATTTTACTCGCCGGAATTTTTTTCTCAGAAACCAGTACAGTTCCGCAGTTGCGTTTGGTAGCTGCTGGTGACAAAAAGCCTCGTCTATAAGCAGGCAAAGTTTCTATTTTGAGGCATCATCAGGCAATTTTCCAGAAATTCCCAAAACTGCCTTCACTATGCGCGGTTGCTCCTGCCGGCCGACGTTTGGAATTTATTTCTTCTGAACCCAGTCGAGCTACAGAGTTGCCTTTGACATCAACTGGAGAAGAACATTCCCATCTATACGTGAACAGAGTTTCGATTTCCAGTCATCATCAGGAAATTTACTAAACAAGTCCCGTATTCAACAATCGGTCCAAAACGAGAAAGTAAACTCTTTGCCGTTACTTGCGTAACAGTGAAGGCAAATGTATTATTACTTTAATGTGCGGTTTGAATAGGAATTCTGCATTAAACAGTTGATGGCGATTTTCCAACTGGGTTAATACTTCGATGTGAGAAGCTCATTTGCGTTAATGTCCATCGGCGGTGGATAAATCAAAATCCCCAAACTCATTAAGCGCTAACTGCGCCTCAGGCTTTTACGGAAACTATGCCCATTAAACTTGGGGTTTTTTTCGAAAAAGTGACTATTGAAAAAATTCCCCAAGATGTGGCTGAAATGGAAACAAGCTTGATTTTTCCGTTTTCGGTAAAAAAATGCACAAATTCATCCTCAATGTGAAAGAAAATGGTAAAATGTTGAGGTCTAGTAGGGAGCTCAATATTGCACATTCGACCTGATAAATACGTTTTGAAGAAGGTGATTTTGCTAGGTTGGAGTTTAGCATTTATTTCCTTTGCAACTTCCAAAGTGGGAAAGCCCGTTTTGGATGCATTTCGCATCTTCAGGCAATTTTTCAGAATTTTTCAAAAAAGCGTCTGGTTTTAGTAAAGGGTTTTTTAAGTTGGAGTATAGCATTTATTTTCTTCTTAACTTCAA